AGGAACAGCCACCACCATGTGGAATTAGGAACATTGTGAACCTCACAAATGCTCTACAGGCATGCAGAGGCCCCTCCAACATTACCTCTTCTGGGATGGGAGAAATTTTGTGTAAACATAGGGGAGATTTCATTACCCCAACCAAGGTCTCAAGTGGGACAGTGGCAGTATCCCACTTCACCACAATCCTCCCCTCCCCACCATGCCCTCTACATGATAAGGCTTGGTACAGGAGCCTTCTGTCAGAGAGACAGGCAGAGAGCTGACCATTGCTCCTCTTCAGGCTGGCTAGAGCTCCTCCAGATTCTATGCACCTCTCCCTGTTTCTGCATAGGCTGAGGTCCAGTCCAGGAGGAGAAGGGAAACTTCAGCTCCCATCATCCCAACAGAAGACTATATTTAGGGGCAAAAACAGTATTTATTGTGCAAGAGGGTTAACCAGCATTAATTTCATCAGGAGGGAGGAAGAGAGTATAGCAGGCACAATATTAGTTAATTTATTTAAAAACATCACATTATTTCTCATTCCCCCCACCAACACACTCACTGATTTACATGGTGTTTATGCAGCGGAAGGGGCATTAACTGGGGGCTCACAGTTCAGCCAGCAACAGACTAACATGAGGCACTGATGTATTTCAGTCTTTGGGCACAGGAGCTGGATAATTTTTTCAAGCCTCGTTGAAGCAGAAGTCAATGGGTTACAAAGGTTGACAGAGCAAAGTGATGTGAAAGCACAGAAAGAAGGGCTGTTCATAGATGGAAGGTTCTCCATTATCACTTGAATATAATTACAAGAAGACACTTTCCCCAACAAGAAGCTTGGAACACAGCCCAGCTACTTTAAACTTCCCAGATCTAAATATTGTAACTACCACTATTTAAAATAGAGATGCTTACTTTAAGAACCTCAGCAAGCTCATGAAATAGGTCTGAAATTTTAACAAAGCTATTTTTGAGTTTTAAAACCAAGTGTCTTCAACCTATTTCCAAAAAAAACCCCATAAGCAGTGAGGTGCAAAAGATAATCTACTTTAATATAGTCTTGTCTTGAGTCCCATCATCTGGGATTCTTATCGAATTAAATATTTCTTAATTGATATAATTGCATATTTAACTCAATTAATCACTTCATCTCTATTTAATTCCTTCTCTAGGTGACATAAAATGAAGGTCAGAGAGAAAAAGAAAGGAATTTCCCCTTGTCTATCACCATCTGAATGTTTGATTATAACCCTTATGTTAATAAAGAGCAGGTATGTGATATGAGAATTCCTCTGACCTTGTTTACACATTTCCACATCAATGTATTAACAGTGAAACAATATAACAAGCAAAATATTTGAATTATCAAAAATGGGACACACACAAAATATACACAATGTGCCATACAAAATGTAACAGTTTTAAAACAATGAACACACTTTATAATAGAACAAAAGGTCCATTTGTCAGTCTCTTTCTAACCTTACACAACATAACTTAATTCAGTTATTTTTGCTGCTACCCCCGTTTGCAGTTGGACTTGCATACTGAAATGCAAAAAGATATGTATTAACTAATTTTCAATAAAGACATTAAATATATCAAGCACAAGACACTCCCTCCCCAAGTTTTTCAATGCATTTTGGTTAAGCAACATGTATCCTTCAAGGAATTGAGTCACATAAACTGCAGAAGCCAGAGTTTGCTTACTTGACCTGAGTGCCTTATTATCCAGTAATGAAGTCTTTACCTCTAAAAATATTCTTAAAATGTAAGCTTGGTAAATTAAGTATGACGTCCTTTTATCAGACTCAGGCATTCTACAAAGGTGGAAAGTTATTTCCACTAGACCAACCCATGCAGTGTAATAGGGCATCAAAAGTTTTTTAAAAATACCTACAGACATTTGCAGCTGGCCTGCCTCCCACCAGCACAGGTACAGTTTCCATCACATAGGGCAAGGTACAAGTCCCCATTTGTCAACTGTCCCAGCTCCCCATCAAAAGATGTGGATCTCTCCTCCACCCAACCTTGTGTAGTCTACCCTAGAAAATTAGCAGCTTTGTTACTGAGCAGAGTTAGAGGTCAGTGGTAAATACCTGATTCTTGTGTCTATTAGAGCTTCCACAACTACCATTGACATCTTACAGCCATGAAGTATACTAGTATACAGAAGACCCAATGAAGAAGCACAAACATTAAAGAACTACTCTAAACAAAACTCAGATGTTATATCCATGCCTCCCCAATCATGAAATTCTGAATACCTGTCAGCTGTTTATACTAGCAACTTAATATTTAATACCAATACAGCTACCATATTCACCTGTATCTACATTAAAACTTTAGATCCATAAACCATCTCCAGGCCAAGTCCACCAGTGCTAGTGTAAGCCACATGATAACAGTGATCAATGGCCTGGTGCTCCAACAGCTGCTGCCACCAGTGATGATGGGAGGTTTTGTGGAAAATACTATGCTAGACAAAGCCTTGCTGGAAGTTATTGTAACACAAGTACTCATTTCCTCACTCAGATATACCTACCTTCTTGTAACTTCAACTGCAGAGCTGTGCTTCAGGTAGCACAGACTCATTTTCAGTGACTTCTTACTCTAAAGACCAGCATCTTATCTAGCTAAAGTAGTATCAGTTCTCATCTGTCTGTCTCACTCTCATTGCACTTTTACTGGCAGCCATCAATGTTCTGCTAATCAGAAACAGGCATCTGAACCTCTTCCCCAACAACAGATGCCAGTTAGGACACAGGGGAGGCATAATGGTTGTATTATGTATTCCCACAACTGGTTAGTAGCCTCTGCTCTTTGGGCTAAGTGCGCCATGCAGCAAGCATGCTCACCTCTGGAGATGATGTATCTTGTGTCTTTTGACAGCAACAATATTACTTTTCATTGTCAGTTAAAAGGAGTCTGGCTACAATATAGAATCTTTTGTCTCAAAAATCTGAACATGGACATAGGCTGGGAAGGTATATTTAAGAGTCACATTAGGGGCTTTGAAACCTAATGTGTTCAAGGAAGGAGCTGTAGGGAATGAACTAAAGAAGATGTAGAACTAGTTAGCAGGCTTCCACAAACTACTTTAATGTGTAGTTTTGTGGACACCATTTCCTTTACCACAAATACAAGCCTTTGGTATTGTACAAAATATATTTTAGCTGCCCTCACATCTATCCCTTTCAGTCAGCTAGACCCTTCTGTGCTTCATTTTCTGTCTGACCTAAAGAATATTGTATTCTTTATTGTATATTGTATTAAGTCCTTGTTCTGCCTCATTCAGATCAGGAACTGGTCTGCCACATCTTAGGTAAATGCCCTAAACACCAGGCTTTTAGCTTACCTGGTGTCTCTCTTGGTTTGACAAAAATTTCATTGTAGACCTCAAAAACCTCCCAACTCAGATTCTCAGAAATTTCATTTCCATAGAATGTTTCAGTTTTGATTGGAATTTTGTGGCAGAAAAAACATACAATCAAAACATTTCTCACCAGCTCTAAATCTTGACTGCTTGTTCATATCCAGTCACCTCTACTGAAATTTGACCTTATCTAATACTTATGCTTCCTTAAGATCAAAATCGGTATTGTTCTTATTCACTGAACATGTTCAATCTAGAATTTGTTTCTTTTCATCCAAATACTTTACGGACTGGTATTACATCACATCAGGGAGAAACTCCCCAGAAATCTTGCACCATAATAGGATTGAGCATTTCCTCCAGAGCAGTTTATCTAACACTTTCCGTGGCACCTTTGGGGACATTTTACATATGATTACAATTCCCTTATGATTAACCCCTTCTGGGAACTATTCTTCACTGTTTTCCCTTCTACATTTCTGTTCTCTCTCTCTACTTATATGTGGAGCAAGTGACAGGAGGAAGTCACCTGCTGCTGAAGTGAAAGAGGATGAAGTAGTCATGGTAATGTGCAACTGCATCATACTCCAGTGGTCGTTACCTTCACTCTATGTTTTTGCTTGATATCTGGCTCCACCCCTTACCTCCCAAAACTTGCTTTCACTTAATTACATTCCATAAAAGGAAAGAAACTTCAGATATTACCAAAACAGAAAATTTCTATTCATAGGACAATACATTTGTAGACCAGTGATAAATCCCCAAAAGGAGTCATTCTGCCAAGTTTCCCTCTGATGTCCAGTTTACCCACCAGCAGGATACACTAGTTTGCACTTTCACAGCTCCATCCATTTGAGGATCTCAACATGCTCTGCACACGTTCATTAATGTGACACAGCCGAGGAATGGGGTGCAGTTGGGGAATCCCCACCATGCCCACTGGGGTTTGAAACCAAGACCCACAGTGGGCTCCACAGGTAACTGGAGGCCACTCAGCCTATCAGCTGAAAAGCCAGAACTCCTGGCTCCCAAGCCCCGGCTACCCTCCTGAACTGGGTAACAGCCCGGTCCCCTCAGCGAACAGGGCACTGGCTGGCCACGAGCCCCGAAGTAGCTCGCGGTGCACGCGCGGTCCCTGGGGTGGCAAATACTCCAAACAGCAGCAGGACACCAAGAGGCACTACTTGTTGCAGCTCTCCCAGCCGTCAGAAAGCTCCAGCTGCTCCCCCGCCTTCGCCACCACAGGAGACAGCGCTAGCCCCCGGCAGACTCTCTCTCCAGGTTGCCGGGCCTGGGCTCAGCGCCGCTCCGCCGGGCAGCCCAGGGATGCGCGGAGAAATGCACCACGCGCCCTTTAATGTCCTGATTTTTTTTTTTGCAGCTGCACGTTTGCACGAAAGCTGCCTGGAAACAGTACTGGCTCCCTCCGCCACCCGGACGCTGGCGCTTACCCCAGCCCGCACCGGCTGTCCGCGGCTCCCAGCCCAACCCCTGGCCGCTGCTCGCACGGGCTGCTGCGGGGCCCAGTTCTCCACCACCCCAGGAGAGGGCGGGAGGAGAGACAAGTTGCCGTTCTCCAGGAGGGGCAGCAGGAACCCGGCCTGGAGGCTCTGGGGAAGTTGCCCGGCTGGACTCTTACCTTCTCCTCACTCGGCGAGCAGCTTCGGGCGGCAGCGGCGGCGGGTGCCGGAGGAGGGAGGCTGCGAGGTAGCGGCTGCCGGCCGGCGCTGTCACGCTGCAGACGCGCGGAGGGAAGGGTTGGGCACCGCGCGGAGGAAGAAGGGGGAAGTGCGGTCCCCTGAGTAGATCGTGGGCTGATTGTGACGTAACAATGGTGCTAGGGACAAATGAGAAGCTGTCTGGGAAGGGGGGCGCTATGACGTCATGGCCGCCAGGGCCAATCCAGGGACAATGGAACGTTCGGGACCGGGAGCCCACAGGGAGACGGGGCGGGGTGAGGGGGGCGAGCCTGGCTGGAAGGGGAGCCCTGGGAGCGAAGGGCAGCGAGAGGCTCGCACGCTGGTGGGCGGAGTGCAATCTGGCGCAGCGCCGGCTTGGGGAGATGAGAAGCATGATCCGCAAGGGAGGCGGAGTGGGTTGCGTGGTCCAATCCAGAGGAGGGCGGAGTGAGGGGCCGGGGTGCTGGGGCCCAATCCGGAGGAGGGCGGGGTGGGGACCAGGGAGGCGGAGGATTGGTTGCGCTCCATCGCGCCTTTCCTCCCTAACCGCCCCCCTCCGTCCCGTAGAACAGCTACACAGCCCAGGCCGGCACCGTTATGTCTCCCTTCCTGGGACGGGGCCTCCCCGCCGCTCAGAGCATGCACCACCCGCATGGGGGCGGGTCCGGGCTGAGCTCAGGGCTCTCGGTCCGCTGGAAACCCAAACTCGCGGCTCATCATCACCCCAGGCAGCCGGCGGCCCAGGCGACCAATCAGCACAGTTGCGGGGAGGCGCTGGAGCCTGATTCCCGCCGCCAGTCCCTGTTCGCTGCTAATCCTGGCCACTGAGCTGGCAGTTCCCAGCGGGGGTCACACCGCTTCTGCTAGGGTGACCGGAGAGCAAGTGTGAAAAATCAGGACAGGGTGTGTGTGCGCGAGTAGGGAGGGGTAATAGGCTTATGTACAAGAAAAGATCCCCAATATGTTAGGACATCTGCTGGGCTGTCCCTACCAATGCCTTAGGCAACCTAAACCTGCACTGGCGGGGGAGCGGAGAGGAACGTTCAGTGGGGAGGGGAGCGGCAGGAGGAGAAGCTGTGGGGGGCAGGATCTGGGTGGGATTGCCAACTCTCCTGAGCTGGATGTATTGCATGCCGTTTGCTGCCATCGTGTCTGAACCTGGAGAGTTAAAGGAGGCTCACCTGCAGCCTCAGGGGGCTGGCAGAAGGCACAGGTGGGTCATGCAGAGGGCAGCTGCACAGTTGGCTGGAGGAAAGATGCACTTTCAAAGGAAACTGTCATTTCTCTCCAGGGTTAGAGGATGCCTGAGTAAGATTGGAGTCTAGGGTGGATGAAGAGGGCAACTTGGAGGGTGGAGTGGGGTAGGTGCCACGGGAGCTGGCTCATAGCCCGTGGTGGGTGAGCAGGGGATGGGTTTTGGTCAGAGCCCATATGTAGCTGATAATATAACCCATACACCTGCTGAGTGTGGTTCACTCTTCAATGTAGCAGTACTGAGATCACCTACAGAGTAAAAAAAATGTGAGTTCTATGGCCTTAGCTGAGAGCCAGCTGGCTTTTAGTTCAAGTGGGAGAGGCTCATGCACTAATGTCCAGAAGTCCCAGGTTTGGTTCCACCTGTTGGTGTTACACATTTGGGACAATTTGGTGTCCAGGGATGCTGATGGGGGAGGGAGCAGTTGTTCCAGAGCTTGGTGATTTAAAAGGGCCCAGGATTCTGGGCAGCTACCACAGCTTCAGTAGCAGCTGGAGTCCTGAACCCTTTAAATTGCCCCTGGAGTCCTATGCGGCACAGTCTGGGTGGCACTGGCTGCCCCCAGCCCTGCCTCAGCAGTCCACAGCTGCCTCCCTCCTACCTGCTCACACGTTGCCCAGGGCCTGGCCAAATGTGTTGCCAGCCCAGTTGGTGCCCTAAATGTCATGGTGCCCCATGTTGCTGCATGTTTCACATATCAGTAGGGTGGCTCTAGACATCTGGTCATATTATCCCTGGCAGTGAAGTGGATGGCAGAGTGGACTGTGAAATAGTACAGAAGGTCACAGCACTGAGCATGGCTTGTGTTCAGGACACTGTACAAGGGTTAACGACATTGGGCTCTCGGAACAGGCAGTGTCCAAAGGAAAGGGGTCATCGTATTTCTCTCCTTCTCCAGCGAATCTGTAGGAGAAGACAGGACTTTGGCCTAGTCGACCAGCCTAGCAGTAATAACATACAATCTTTTTTCACTGGCTCTTGTGAGATTACAGGTTGGACCTCCCCGGTCCAGCACCCTCACGACCTAAATAGTCCTGGATGAGGGATTTTTCTGGACATAGGGAGGTCATTTCTGGACCTCTGTTACCATTCCCCCGGCCCAGCTGATGGCCTCCCGGCTGACTCCCCACCTTCTGCTGGCCTTGCAACCCTGCCTGCCCCATTGGGCAGCCATAACTGCCATGGCTCCGGGACCTGCCGGGCAGCTGAGCGCACCGCGTTGGGGCTTTGGGACCAGCTATGCGCCATGCACTGTGGCTTCCAGCCACATATTGAATCTTCTTAGCCCGCTGGGCAGCCCCACTGCCACACACTGGGCGGCCCCACCATCAGCTCGCTGCAGGCAGCCCACTGTCCTACTGGACCCGTAGGAATTCTTGCCACTGGCCCTCCATAGGGACTCTCTGGTTCTGCAACATCCATGCAGGACCATTGATGTTGCTGGACCAGAGGATCCCAGTTATGAGTTTCAACCTGTACTCTGATGGCATTAGCACTTGTCCATAGAGAGAGGACTTCTAGAACACACTGTAACTTATGTTGCCTGAGCCTTCCCAGCCAATCTCTGAAGCACTTGTATCCTGGTTGTACTCTGCTGACACATCTACACTGTTCTTGGTACCCTTGCTATCTACCCTTGCTACCCTGTTGTGATCCCTCCCTCTGGGGCATCTGACATTGGCCACTGTTGGCAGACAGGTTCCTGGGATAGATAGACCTTTGGTCTGACCCAGTATGGCCGTTCTTATGTAGTAAAGCTAGCATGGGTATGCTTTATGTGTACTACAATCACACCTTCACTTGCATTGTCTGTGTACCTCATAAAACAATAGTTTGGGCAGAAATTTTCTAAATCAGATGTCTGCCTCAGGCTGATGAAACTGATAGTAATGTGTAGATGTTATCTCATTGGTAATAATGTAAAATATAACAAAATTTAGGGAGAGTGACAGGCTTGGAGTCTGGAATGGAGATCCACTTTTACCTGATGATTTTCTCCCTCCTTGAAAAGGACTTTTTAGGGAAAATTTTAAGTCAAAACAGTTTTGCTGTTTCTAGGAATAAGAGTAGGGGTAAATATATTATTTCCTATGTAAACTTAGTGAGACATAGGTATATAATAAATGCCATAGTATATGATAAATACCAATCCTATTCAACATATTCATAAATGATCTGGAGAAAGGGGTAAACAGTGAGGTGGCAAAGTTTGCAGGCGATACTAAACTGCTCAAGGTAGTTAAGACCAAAGCAGACTGTGAAGAACTTCAAAAAGATCTCACCAAACTAAGTGACTGGGCAACAAAATGGCAAATGAATTTAACATGGATAAATGTAAAGTAATGCACATTGGAAAAAATAACCCCAACTATACATATAATATGATGGGGGCTAATTTAGTTACAACTAATCAGGAAAGAAATCTTGGAGTCATCATGGATAGTTCTCTGAAGATATCCACGCAGTGTGCAGTGGCAGTCGAAAAAGCAAACAGGATGTTAGGAATCCATGGTACACCCACATCTTGAATACTGCGTACAGATGTGGTCTCCTCATCTCAAAAAAGATATATTGGCATTAGAAAAGGTTCAGAGAAGGTTCATAGGGGTTTGGAACAGGTCCCATATGAAGAGAGATTAAAGAGACTGGGACTTTTCATCTTGGAAAAGAGGAGACTAAGGGAGGATATGATAGAGGTATATAAAAATATGAGTGGTGTAGAGAAAGTAAATAAGGAAAAGTTATTTACTTGTTCCCATAATATAAGAACTAGGGGCCACCAAATGAAACTAATGGGCAGCAGGTTTAAAACAAATAAAAGAAAGTTCTTCACACAGCGCATAGTCAATCTGTGGAACTCCTTGCCTGAGGAGGTTGTGAAGGCTAGGACTGTAACAGGGTTTAAAAGAGATAACTAGATAAATTCATGGAGGTTGAGTCCATAAATGGCTATTAGCCAATATGGGTAAGGAATGGTGTCCCTAGCCTCTGTTTGTCAGAGGGTGGAGATGGATGGCAGGAGAGAGATCGCTTGATCATTACCTGTTCAGTTCACTCCCTCTGTGGCACCTGGCATTGGCCACTGTTGGCAGACAGGATACTGGGCTGGATGGACCTTTGGTCTGACCCAGTATGGCCATTCTTATATGCATAAGGGGTCCAATTAATGGTGCCATTTCCTAACATTTGAGTGCTTGACTGTTCAACCTTAATAACATTACAGTAGTTCAAAACTGTTTTTACGGAAAAAATATACATAATTCTAGATAACTATCCTGTCTGTTTCTGTCTCTCCTCAGTTACTCAGCTCCTAACCAGAATATCTGAATGTTTACAAATTGTATACAAATAAAATTCCCCTGCTCCTTCTTAAGGTTGCTTGCCATCCAAATTAGATAGGTTTTAAAACAGCAAATAAGAAAAATAAATAAAGGGTGGGGTACTGGTGGCTAAGGAATGTGATGAACTATAACACATTATTTTCTTTGGCAATGATGTAAAATATAACAACATTTGGGGATAGTAACTGACTTAGAGTCCAGAATGGAGATCCACATTTACCCAAAGAGTTCCTCCAAACAGAATTTCACAAACAAAAGTAAATGATTCAGAGGGGTAGAAGAGTTAGCTTGTAGCTGGAAAAACTTAAAAAAGAATGAATAGTCTTGCAGTACCTTAGTAACTAACAAAACATGTTGATGGTGGTGATCCAGTATTGGGTCACAGAATGTAAGGCACTGGGTCACCTTGCTCAGCACTCAGGGACCCTGGTGGCTAGCTAAGGCTGGGTCACAACCCACACTTCGAAAACTCTTGGCTAAGCCTTACTGTGCTGCACCCTGGAGGGGGACAGCCACAGATCCAGCTTGTAGGCAGGAAGGCCATGAGGCTCCTCATGCAGCCCCCTGTCCTAAGCACTGGTTCCAAACTCTGATTGACAAGAAACCAGCCAATGGGAACTGGGGAGAGTCTGTACTGCAGATGAGAGCTGTGTGTAGCTGCGTGCGTGCCTCCACCTAGAAGCTGGACCCTATGCTGGCCTCTTCTGGGGCCCAGCATGGTTCATGGTGCCAAGGCAGGGAGGAAGCCTGCCTTCTCATCAGCAGGGATTCAAAGCCAT